AAAAAAAGGTTCTCTGTTTTTGTAACTGTTGTTGCATAAGTATTCAACAAAAGTGAACTTAAAGAAAGAGACCAGCTGTTTGAAAACAGGTCAACTCTGTTAAACTGTTTTTTTTTTGTCTAACACATTAAACAAAGCCAGTGAAAGCCGACATATTTGTCCTACGTATTTGCTAATAGATAACAGAACACGTTCACTCTCTATTAAAAACTGATACCAGTTTTGTCAGTGTTTTCAGCTGCTCCAGTGCTGAAAACACTAAATGCTATCTGCACATAAATGCATCCTCCCCTCGTGCAAAATGTGAATCACTATTGGTGTTGCACTGAGCCTGTCAGGTATGTGTGCTCCTGCACTAAGACAGATCCCCGTGCATGTGGTCACCTTGTAGTTTCTGCTGTTAAATGAAGCAGACGCCCGACTCTTCTTCTACAATTATTCCAAATAAAACTAAGCTTACACATAAATCACATTTGTCATCTGTGCCTCGGGAGAAACAGACTGCAGGTTCTGTGTCAAACATATAAAGCATTTGTCTGTATATATGAGAAGGTAGAAAATCTCATTCCTCTGTGTCACATGCTGCGTCTGGCTCCTTGCAAACACGCCGCTTCATTTTTACCCTGGAAGGAATTCAAACAACGATGGTACAATTTTAAAGACTATGGAAACTATGAAGACTCATGACACGATTTTGCAAAACTAATTAGAGTCCTGCTAGAGCCCTGGCAAACATTCATATCTTGCAATGCAGTCTTGCAGGTGCAAAGTAGGCAATTACTCACAATCTGTGCATTACATCCTTGGTAAACCAAAACTGAAAACTGAAATGTTGCTTAATGCTGTGAAAGCCACTTGAGGCTGCAGATGTTTTAGGTTATATTTTTCTTCAGTGCTGCACACATCATGCTGCTGATAAGTAACATGGCTTTCAGTCACCTCTTTTAAATTCCACACATGCCTCACATTCATCCCCCTAAGGTCCCATCTTTTTATGGCCTTGGCAAATGGCCTTTATTAAGTGAATGAATGTTCATAATTCTGCACCTGGACATGCAGCAAAATGAGTGGAGACATGCTGCTTGGCGTCCACATTTCAGTATTAAACACTCTTGTTGTTTTTCTGCACACACACCTGTTTTTTCTGCATTAATAAAACAGCTTTACACGCAGCCTATTACTGTGTAAACCTGCACTGGCTTCTTTATACAGCCCCAGCCTTGCTCAAGGGCACCTTGGTGAATTGTTCGGGCTTTTATTTCTCTGCTTTCATATTCATCCAACCTTCCCCCCCCCAGCCCCGCTGCTCCTAAACACCGCCCCAGTCTTGGTTGCGTCGCACTCCCCCGTCTGTCACATCAGGCTCCGCTAAATCTGACGTGTTTTTCGCATTTCCTGCACCAGAGAGAGAGAGAGAGAGCGCGCGAGAGAGACGGAGACACACAGCGGTGTCGGGAGGCTGTGTCCACGGGAAGTTGAGCTCAAACAGCTGCACTGGACTGACACCAGGCCGTGCACCAAGCAGCAGGAGCCCGTTTTGACACATCCACCCGCCGCCCCCCTTCTCTCCGCCCCTGCTGCGGTCGTTACCGGCCGCTGTCTGGTTCGCAGCTCGAACATCTCCAGTGCGCCGCGGCGGCTGGCAGCAGGTATTTGGAGCCTCCCACCCTCCGCACGGTGCAATGCAACGCAGGCCAGTGCTTCCAGGGAGCCCCGCTGCAGCTAACAGAGCTTTTTAATACCTCGAAGGTAAACACCATGACAGAGCGACTCACATCTGGGGCCTCTGCTCGTATGTGCGCCGTAGCTATTCATGTTTCTTCCGTGCACTTCTGAAGGCTTCCCGGGCTAACGGTCGCTTTTTCCGCCACTGAAGTTCAGTTTCTGGGGGGAAATTTTTGTAGCATAATCGACAAGTGCAGACGTTTCGAGACACGACAGCAGCCCCGGTGTGCTTGGTGACTGCACTCTCTCCTTCATATCGGAGTGGAAGGAACACGCTCTGCCCGGAGGACCACCGGTTGAACGGAGCCGTCAAAGCGCTAAAGCACGGTTGATTTGGGGGGTGTTTGAGGAGAAAGGTGTCCTGTGGTTTTACTGGAAGCACGTTTCATCGCCATGGTGGTCTTCAACGGGCAGCTGAAGATCAGGATCCGCGAGGCTCTGGACCTCAAACCCACAGCTTGGTCCCTGCGTCACGCCGTCGGTCCCAAGACTCAGACCTTCCTCCTGGACACGTACATCGCCCTCAACGTGGACGACTCTCGCGTGGGCCAGACCTCCACCAAGCAGAAAACCAACAGCCCCACGTGGAATGACGAGTTCATCACGGAGGTCCACGACGGCCGCAAGATAGAGCTATCAGTCTTCCACGACGCGCCCATTGGCTACGACGACTTCGTGGCCAACTGCATCATCCAATTCGAGGACATCCTGCAGAACAGCAGCAAGCACTTTGAGGACTGGGTAAGACACCTGAAGCACACACAGTGGGAGTGATAGTGGAACAAGGTGCTCACACCTTCTCTGTCGTAGGCAAACGGACCTCAGTGGGAAAGTTTTCCAATGAATCAGTTAATCGCTCTTTTTCCAATCACAATTCTCCCGGGAGTCTGGCAGGAAGCAGACTATAAGTAGTCATATAGTTGCAGGGATTTACACCTAAAAATACAAGCTGTGTGTTCCATCATATTACATAATCTACAGACTCGATATAATAAGACAGGACCAACACTTAATAATACAAAAGGCTTAGCTAATGTTGTTTTTAATTTAATTTTATTTATATAGCGCCAAATCACAACAGCAGTCACCTCCAGGCGCTGTACTTATAATCTAAAGACCCAACAACAGGGGTGTCAAACAAAGCAGTTCTGGATGACTTTGGAAAATGTGAAGGAGGGGATACATTTTGAACTTTTAACAAGTTTTACAGCTTTTCCTACTGTTAAAGACTTCCCCTCGGGCCATTTACGATACACCAAATTGAATCCCAAAGAGTCACACTCACAGATTCCTTTCATTTACTACAGCAGCATTTTTTTTTATCATGTAGAAAAACTGAGACATACTGTTAAAATTGCACTTTTTGTCTTATATTAAGATACCTAATTGATTACATTTTTAGTTAAACTTCTTTACACTAACAGAAATTTGATTTTTATCAGTCATTTGTCTGGAACATGATATCAACGTGAGCTGTATGTGAAAAATGTTTTTTATGTGGCTGCTCCACAATAAATGAGAGAAAACCCCAACACCCCCCTTTGAGACAGGACAAATAAATAGATAAATAAATAAGTAAAATAAAAGATGCAGTGTGGAAGAGAGGCAGAGATGAATAACTAGTGAGTGCATTTTTCAAAAGAAAAGTGCAGTTAACCAAAACGACCCACCATAAACGTGCATCGTTTTAGGGTTTGACATCCTGACGCCTGAGAAGCTTTGACCGCTCAGTATTTAGTGTGTTATCTTGATAAATGATTAATTGCTTTTAACTTGATAAATGATTCATATTCCGAACGAGTAGGAGTCAACTAATAGATTAAGTGAAGATCATTTGCTCGTCATCTCGATTTCAAGTTCAAGCCCTGCCCCTTTAGACATGTTCACAATTGAAAGTAAACACAAGTAAACATTGTGAAATCTCTGGTTCGGTCTTGTTTTTATCATTTAAGAAATGTGGCTAGGCTAAGCCCGGTTTTATCTCGCTCTGAACTCGAGATTGCTATACATGCTTTTATTTCGTCACGCTTGGATTATTGTAATTCGCTGTTTATGTGTCTAAGCAAAGGTTCTCTGGATCGTCTGCAGGTTGTGCAAAACGCTGCAGCTAGGCTTTTGACAAAATCCTCCAAGTACTCACATGTGACACCGTTATTATCTCAGCTACACTGGCTTCCTATTAAATTTAGAGTCGATTTTAAGATCCTGGTCTTGACCTACAGAGCTGTGCACGGACTGGCACCAGCCTACATCTTTGATCTGCTACAGCCCGATGTCCCTAGCAGGTCTTTGAGGTCATCGGATCAGGGCTTACTTGCTATAAAAATACTAAGAGGAGGACTAAGGGTGACAGAGCTTTTGCCACTGTGGCCCCGAGACTGTGGAACTCTCTCCCCCAAACATTAAGAACTGTGGACTCAGTAGCTGTTTTTAAAAAACAACTCAAAACTCACCTTTTTAAAACTGCTTTTGGTAAATTTTTTGCCCGTTTTATTTTCTCTTTTTAAATCTTTTTATGACTTGTAATCTTATGTGCAGCATTTTGTGATTCTGTCTTGAAAGGTGCTATATAAATAAAAATTTATTTATTTATTTATTTACCTACAGCAAATGATAGCTGTAAAGTGTGGATGCCAAGAAAAAAAGTAACTTTTCCAACTGGCATTTTCAGATGGAAAGGTTATGGGAAAGATCCCCATCCCAGTGTGTTAAATACTGCCACATGGAGCTGCCATCACCAGATGCATCACGGTGTCCTATTGTATGGTGCATTAGTGGATGAAGAGAGAGAACTGATGTCTTAAAAAGCTACAAAGGCTGCGTTTGGAAAATGGAGAGGTGGCAGTAGATTAAGGCCATAGACTGTATATAAAAGATGGTTAAAGATTGATTTCAGACTCTACATTTTGAACTCTCAGCGTTAGTGTTTCCTCAACCCGCATGCTGCTTTTTTGGATCTGGAAATGATGAGCTGCATCTATAAACTGTACAAGTGCAACGTACAGACAGGGTAATTAATGCTAAGTAACCTAAAAATAAAGTACAAAAGTTTGACTCACAAAAACCTAAACACAGTTTTTTATTTTGTGTAGTATTATTTTTAAGATAATTTCACTCCAAAGGCATCAGTACCAGTAAGTCAGTTTCAGTGACTCAGTTAGTGGAGGTTAGGCTCAGCAGACGGCTGCTGGCTACAGAGCCTTGTGTGGGCACACCTGTCAATCAAAGCAGCCGTGTTCCTGGGTCTAGGCTGCACCAGTATCCAGATGGATGAATTATACAAAATTCTCATCACCCAAAGAAACCCATAACTATTTATCATAACAGAATGTAAAATATTTAGTTCTGCTTTAATTTAGGACATTTTAACATGTGAGGACTTCTGTAGCTAGCTTCAAGTGGCCATTAAAAGAAACTTTCTTTTTTAGCCTCGGAGGTTTTTGCTGCAGAGACTGTGGTTTGCATTTTAGCGTGTTGAAGAAAGACATGGTAAAAGAAGAAGAGCAGTGCTTGGGTTAAAATTTTAAACTTGCCTTCTCACCACTGATGATGTACATTAAATGACTTATAATGTGATTCCAGATGGTCCTTTGCAAGCCTCCGTATAGGACGAGTTGGGAATATGAAACCCTTTTCACTATTTCCTAATGCAGCGATGGGACACCTTGTGCGTATCTTTGAGATCTTGAAATGACTGTTGCTGTGAACTAGGTAAACAAAGTTGGATTGAGCAGATCTCAACCTGCAAGTCAACTGAACAGAGCAGATGACATGGGGCATAAGAGTTTAGCATGACGCTAGCTCATTCAAACATTCAAAAGTACAAACAAATATTTATATTTATAACAGCATTTATATTGTAGAAGCTCATGTTCTTACCATGAGCTGGTACATCAGTTTCCTTGACTCTTAAAGTTTATTTGTTCCTCTAAAACGAACAAGTGGGAAAGTGACAGTGTGTGTTATTAAATTGTTATGCTGTGTTAGCGAACAGTTGCTTATTTACACATCCAGCAGACATGGAACAATATGCTGATTCATATGAAGTCATGTTTTCTGTGCAGAGAACCAAACCAAGGGAAATGTCTGGCTCTGCTTCTGTTACATGCTCCTCTAGCTAACTTTACTGTCTTCAGCAGCTAGCCACATAACACTGAGAGCAGCTGAAAGGTGGTTAAAGACAAAATGCTGGGATGCAGGGACTTGTGAGCAGAAGCGACTCCAAACATGGTCACTGTTGGTGTTTCATCCAACTCTCACATACAGATACACAGTATATTGATACATCTACTGGAAAGACCACAGATCGCATCTTTAGAAACTGTGCAAAGAAAATCACGCTTTTGTTGTACACTGCAGGATCTCTGCAACCCAAACTCTGCTGTCCTGCAGCTAAGTTTAGCAGATGCACAACAGGGTTCGCTACACACACAATATAGATCCTGTTGCCTTTGTTGTGCTCTTGTTAGATGAACCAGTGACCCACGGCAGAGCTACAAAGAGTGGATGCAGTTAGGCCAAATGCATGACACTCATGCACACATTCACAGAAGCATTGGGGAGCCGTCCATTGTTGTCTGAAGCCGCTGAAGCAGATAGTTGGTTGATTGTATTATTGATGAGGCCATCAGGTCCATTAGACACAGTGAAAGAGAGCTGGGAGAAGGACAGGATGAGAGAAAGCAGTGGATGGAAACCTTTACAGAATGTTTCTCTGTAGGACAGAGACGGTTGTTCTGTGGGGGAGTGTGAAGTCTCATGTGTTAAGATTAAGTTCTTGACAGAAGGACTCGGAATAGGAGACTCTCAGTGAATCTTCTGATGGGTTTAAATATTTCTGAGCTGTATCACATGTGCTGCTGGTGGACTTCCTGTGCATTTACACTATTTCATATCATTACATTTATTTCGGCTCGCTTGTTTGTTGTTCAGTCTCTCTGCGCTCCTCTGTTTCTGTCTTCGCTTTCCTCTAATCCCACAGCCGGTCGTGGCAGATGGCTGCTCATCACACAGCCTTGTTCTGCTGAAGGTCTCTTTCTGTTAAAACTTAAAATTGTTGGAGTTCTCTTGCCTAAAATATAAAGCAGCTGGAGATGACTGTTGTTGTCATCTGGCGCTATATTAAAAACATTTAATTGCCCTTAATGTAGGAAAGAATCAAACAGGGATGCTGTTATGACTGCTCTCCTCACTACTCACTAGTAACTCAAATTAGATAAAATTCAGTTAAATTAAGTAGTAGTATTACACAATGTGCCTGTTGAAACTTTCTGCTAGTTAGAGTACTTTATCGAGTTCAGGTCTTTGTTAAACCTTCTTAAGTTGTTATATCAAGCAAAAAGTAAAGCATCATATTGACAAATCTCATTTATGGCACACTATTGAAGCTACTCTAGCCTGCAAGTGGCAACCTCCAGAGCTCAAAAATGAAGCCAAAAAAGTGTGTTTCCTCTTGTAGCCACTCAAGACTGACTCCTGAAGGCAAATCAGACCTTTCATGTGAAAATGCCCAACTTTTCAGCATCAAAACACACGTTAACCAACAGTATGGCCACTGTTGATAACTTTAGCTGCTAAGCTAGAACCGTTTGTGCTGTCGGTGCCGTTGTAGCCTTATAATGAATTATCTGGCAAACAAAATGTGAGGCACAGCTAATCCAAGAAGTTTGTGCTTCAGTTTTTTGATGAGTGATATTTTAATAGTGTCTGTGCATTGTACAGTTTATGAATGGAACTTACTA